CGCGCATCAGGGCGCCGCTATCAGTATGTGGGGTATTTAAATCCCCTTTGAATGAGCGCTCTCAGTTGTAGTTCACTTTCACTTTTGATTTCGCGATCGCGCTCGCACTGTGTAAAGCAGTGCTTCTCAAAGTCCGGACCCGGAGGGAATTCAGTCTGGACCCGCCCCAATTTCATATTTCAAGAACACTAATTATTTCCTACTTTGATAAACGCATGTTAAACTTGTAAATCATATGTTTAGTTTTTTAATGTGTTTATGGAGATGGTCCGAAATGAAAGCGAAGGCGAGATATTGAAACTTTTCCTTCATGACATTTGTTGTCATGACATCCAGTGAGCGTATGACGTTTGACATAATCGGACGACATTTCATCGCTAATATGAGTAATTTTTTATTTATTTATTTTTGTTATAGATTATGGCCATTTGACTTAGCAGTGTCCAGTGTTTCCCATACATCGAGTTATTTGTGGCGCTCCGTCACAAAATCAAAACTGACCACCACAAATAGATTTTCCAGATTGATTCTACTTCGTTGAATAAACTGAGCACTGCACGTTTCAAAATTAAAATGCAGCACGGGTGTTTTTATATGAATGTATAATTGAAAATAACCAACCGTCTTCAGAAAAGCTTTGATGTTATTTTCATGTTTATTTGTTATGCATGTTATGTATGTTTATTAAAAACAAGTTTTGTAATAACCAATTGTTCCGGTCCGGACCTTTGACACTGATGAAAATTCAGATTTGGACCTTTGAATGTAGACTTTGAGAACCCCTGGTGTAAAGGGAGCACATCCTACGATAAAATATATTTGTCAATGAGCTCCAACATCGAGCAAATCCTCCAACATCTTGTCAGTTATCTCTCCTTACTTTTGACCCGTGATTAGTCAAATTTGACTTCTGCAGCTCGTGTTGGATGCAGGGTTGTTGTTGTTTTTTTCCCACGAAATTTGGCTGCTTTTAAACTGTTGCCATGGGTTGATTTTCCCCAGTGGGTTAAAGGTTTGAAATATTGCATAAATTACATTTGGTTGAAATGCTTGTACTGAAACATTTTGCATTCTGTTATAAATAAAACTGTGCTAAATGTTTTGGGCCACACTAGTAGGAAGCATTTAAGCTGTGTTTATGATAAATGTGCATAACAGTGACTGTAAAATATTTATTTTAGGGATGGAAATTACATTTTTATATTTGGGACATGGTAATTGCGCTACTTTGGGCT